TTGGACGATTCTTAGCTTGTTGTAGGCCAGGACATCATGCCATGGTCTGTGGACCACTCTCCTTAGGGTGGGTCTGGGCAAATGTCTGTACAATAATGCTCTGCTCCTTGGACGATTCTTAGCTTGTTGTAGGCCAGGACATCATGCCATGGTCTGTGGACCACTCTTCTTAGGGAGGGTCTGGGCAAATGTCTGTACAATAATGCTCTGCTCCTTGGACGATTCTTAGCTTGTTGTAGGCCAGGACATCATGCCATGGTCTGTGGACCACTCTTCTTAGGGTGGGTCTGGGCAAATGTCTGTACAATAATGCTCTGCTCCTTGGACGATTCTTAGCTTGTTGTAGGCCAGGACATCATGCCATGATCTGTGGACCACTCTCCTTAGGGTGGGTCTGGGCAAATGTCTGTACAATAATGCTCTGCTCCTTGGACGATTCTTAGCTTGTTGTAGGCCAGGACATCATGCCATGGTCTGTGGACCACTCTTCTTGGGAGGGTCTGGGCAAATGTCTGTACAATAATGCTCTGCTCCTTGGAAGATTCTTAGCTTGTTGTAGGCCAGGACATCATGCCATGGTCTGTGGACCACTCTCCTTAGGGAGGGTCTGGGCAAGTGTCTGTACAATAATGCTCTGCTCCTTGGACGATTCTTAGCTTGTTGAAGGCTAGGACATCATGCCATGGTCTGTGGACCACTCTTCTTAGGGTGGGTCTGGGCAAGTGTCTGTACAATAATGCTCTGCTCCTTGGACGATTCTTAGCTTGTTGTAGGCTAGGACATCATGCCATGGTCTGTGGACCACTCTTCTTAGGGTGGGTCTGGGCAAGGGTCTGTACAATAATGCTCTGCTCCTTGGACGATTCTTAGCTTGTTGTAGGCTAGGACATCATGCCATGGTCTGTGGACCACTCTTCTTAGGGAGGGTCTGGGCAAGTGTCTGTACAATAATGCTCTGCTCCTTGGACGATTCTTAGCTTGTTGTAGGCTAGGACATCATGCCATGGTCTGTGGACCACTCTTCTTAGGGTGGGTCTGGGCAAGTGTCCTAGTCAGTGGGTTTTTCACTGCCTTGGGTGATCCAGGCCATCACACCCTTGTCTGTGGACCAATATGACTTTTGGTATGGTATAGACATGCCCCCATTCTGTGCACCACTAGCAGAAGAGCCAGTGGCATCATGTGCTGGTCCGTGGATTAGTCTGCCCCATCCCATGACTCCTTTCAGAAAAACTGATTACATGGTTTAAAATAGTTACCGGGCACGCTGCCTGCCTTGATTTTGTGGAATTTCAAACTTTTTTTAATAGACCCCATTCAACTTATGATGACAACATGAAATGTTCATTTGATAACTTAGTCTAATTAACAGAGAAAGACAATGCACTTTAAAAAAAATAGGTAAATTTACATTTTATTTATTATGGCACTAGATTGAAAGCATACATAGTTTAAAACACTTTTTGCATGTAAAAGATTGACAAATTATTAACATGGATATTAAAATAACTTACATTTTCGCTTCATTGTTGAAATAAGATGAATTTGCTGTCAACTAAGTATAACAAACAGTATCAGCTACTGTGCAGAAAAGCGCACATTTTATAAGGTCCTCAATCACTTTTGTTAAGACAGTAAATCAAACACAATAATCACCACACATCATATTCAGATCAATTATACATACCACAAGAAAATATTCAATTTCCATTGACACAGTGAACTCTCCATAACTCTGACATCTTGGACTTTGGATAATTTAGGCAGAATAAATACGCGTTGAAGCTGACATTACTTCTAAGAACTTTAACTTGATTTAATCATTTATGAATTCTGACCATTTGGCAGTGAACGTTGGAGAAAATAAACTTTCAAATTCGGAAAACATCTGAACCGGATAACATCACAACAGAGATGATGAGAGCAGATATAGACTAAGATACAATAGTCAACATGATATAACTAGTGATTATTTCAGAGATTTTCCCCCCGGGGGGCACTTCAGATTTTTTCGGGGTGGGGGGGGGGAAGTGCCATCAGTGCCATTTTATTTATTGTTGGACATATTTTTGTTCCGAGGGGGCACTTGGCTTCCCCCCCCCCCCGGGGGGGGGGCTGTAGATATATATAGCTGAAAGAAACCCTGGATATAACCTCTATTTGACAAGATATTGGAAGAAGAGAGAGTTCCAAACGAATGGAAAGGAAGACACTTCATCATGATACCAAAGAAAGGGGATCTCAGCAACTGTGCAAACTACAGAGGTATTACACTGCTGTCTGTAACAGGAAAGGTTTTTATGCGAATTAATCTGAATAGAATTAAGGACCAGGACGACACGCAGCTAAGAGATCAACAGGCTTGCATCCGCCAGCTCATGCACAGACCAACACTACGCATAATAGTAGAACAGTCCATCGAATGGAACTCCCCCTTACATCTAAATTTCATTGAATATGAAAAGTCCCTCGATAGCCTGGACAGAAAAACCGTGTGACAATTCTCCGACATTATGGTGTACCACCAGTGCCAGGAAAACTAGTTCAGAGCATTCAGATTTTTTACGAAGAAATGACATGCATGTGGTATACAAAGGTAGACTCATAGATGCCTTTTAAGTGTAAACAGGTGTCACACAAGGATGTCTCTTGTCCCCATCCTATATTATAGAGGGAATGCCAGTTGTAGCTGTAAACTGTACAGACCAGAGTTAGTTGTAGCTGCATAGTGTAGAGGGCAGTGCTAGGTGTAGCTATATAATGTACACGACAGTGCTAGTTGTAGCTGTAGACTGTAGACAGCGGTGCTAGTTGTAGCTGTAGACGGCAATGCTAGTTGTAGCTATATAGTTTCGATGGCATTGTTATTTGTAGCTGTATAGAATAGTGTAGAGGGCAGTGCTAGTTGTAGCTGTAGACGACAATGCTAGTTGTAGCTGTAGACTGTAGACGGCAGTGCTAGTTTTAGCTGTAGACTGTAGACGGCAATGCTAGTTGTAGCTATATAGTGTCGATGGCCTTGTTAATTGTTGCTGCATAGAATAGTGTAGAGGGCAGTGCAGGTTGTAGCTGTAGACGGCATTGCTAGTTCTAGCTGTATAGTGTCGAAGGCATTGCTAGTTATAGTTATATAGTGTAGAGGGCAATGCTAGTTGTAGCTGTAGAATGTAGTGCTAGTTGAGTAGCTATAATGTAAAGTGCAGTGCAAGTTGTAGCTGTAGAGGGCATTGCTAGTTGTAGCTGTAGAGGGCAATGCTAGTTGTAGCTGTAGACGAAGTGCTAGTTGTAGCTGTAGACTGTAGACGGCAGTGCTAGTAGTAGCTGTAGACTGTAGACGGCAGTGCTAGTTGTAGTTATATAGTGTCGATGTCCTTGTTAATTGTTGTTGTATAGAATAGTGTAGAGGGCAGTACAAGTTATAGCTGTAGACGGCATTGCTAGTTGTAGCTGTAGACTGTAGAGGGCAATGCTAGTTGTAGCTGTAGAGGGCAATGCTAGTTGTAGCTGTAGAGGGCAATGCTAATTGTAGCTGTAGAGGGCAGTGCTAGTTGTAGCTGTAGAGGGCAGTGCTAGTTGTAACTGTAGAGGGCAATGCTAGTTGTAGCTGTAGAGGGCAATGCTAGCTGTAGCTGTAGAGGGCAATGCTAGTTGTAGCTGTAGAGGGCAGTGCTAGTTATAGCTGAAGAGGGCAGTACTAGTTGTAGCTGAAGAGGGCAGTGCAAGCTGTAGCTGTAGAGGGCAGTGCAAGCTGTAGCTATATAGTGTAGACGGCAGTGCTAGGTGTAATTGTAACTTTAGTCGGCATGGTTAGGTGTAGATTTAGATGGCATTGCTAGCTGTAGACGCTTGTATTTATTGCAATTTCGACAAATCTACTGATTATGTAAGCCAGCAAATGTAATCATATTAATTAATAGAAATTATAAATACTTTTCAAATACATTCCTTCTCTTTTGTTGGCAGTTGCGACTAATCAGTCAATTTATTTTCTAAATTCCCAGTGAATCCCTTTTATGTGAGTCACTTCTGTGTCAATCCCCTCTATGTCAATCCCCTCTGTCAGTCACTTCTGTGTCAGTCACTTCTATGTCAGTCACTTCTATGTCAGTCAAAATAAAATGAGTAAAACAGAGTAGGGTTAAACCCTCTACAGCTACAACTAGAAAACCTGGAAAAATAAACGCAACAAAACAGCGAACGTGTCGGCAGCAATATTGCTGCCCACAGATACTACTTACCAGCTAAGTGCTATTTCTTATTTTTATTTGTATACCGTTTTTTCTGTTGTTTTGTTTGCTGACGAAGGCTTTCTGCCGACACGTTCGCTGTTTTGTTGCGTTTATTTTTCCAGGTTTAACCCTACTCTGTTTTACTCATTTTATTTTGTACTAACCTGATTGCAGTCTCTCCCCTTATTACCCATATGTCAGTCACTTCTATGTCAGTCACTTCTATGTCAGTCACTTCACTACATTGCATTTCATCAACAGAGGTTAACACTAGGGTTGCACCAATTAATCAGGAAATAGTCAGCCACTTTGGGGATTATTTTAGTGATCGATTTTTTATGTGACCGATTTTTTATGTGACCGATCAATTGGCTTATTGGCCAATCGAAAATGCTATCTAGATTTAAAGCTAGGAAGTTTAAAAAGAATTTGTTATTACATTTATTAAATGTGGCCTAAAGACAGATTCTGCTAAGTGTCTGCAGGTGATGACCTACTAGTGAGGGGCATGAAACATTTAACATATCCTGTCCACCTCTTATTGAAACATAAACACAACCCCTTGTCTCAGAGAAAAAAAATACCCCACCCCCCAAAAAAATTCATATTCAAATTGGGCTTAGGCCCTAAGTTAGCAAACACCATATTGACCCAAGCAGACGCTTTATAATTGTGATTACGTATGTTATTTTATCAGTTTTCGTAGGATATAATTTATAATACATTTTATAAAATAGTCATAAATAATAACTACACATGATTTATAATTTGGCCCCTACAATGCATTTCAAAGCTACATACAAAAAAAATTAATCAGTGATTAATCTATAATCTGCAAATTTGATAATCGGTGCAACTCTAGGTACCACACACATGATGGATGTTTATGAGGCATTTACTGCAAACTCAAAATATGAACAAAATAAGCTAAAGAAACAGTCCCAACATTTTATTCAATTACACTATTATTATACCATGTTTTTCTAAAAGAAATATCACATTACCAGTATATAGTCAAAAAAATTTCAACAGTAAGCTTTAAAAATAATAAATTAAGTAGTTTTTGTACTCGGCTCTTAACAATAGGTGAGGCCATGATGAATGAGAAGAGAGATGTAATGCTGTAAAGGCCAATGGGATTAAAACTAGAAGATATACATCATGTTAGTGAAGTAAGATTTCATCCACACATTTAGTTATTAGTACGCACTTATGGGGAAGGGTTTAATTTATTTAGAAGATTTGACATAGTTATTCCCATATGAATCTCAACACTTGCATTAGACTGCAAAATTGTGCTGTTTCTCCTTCAGTTTGAAATATATACTTTGTCAGGAGGGAAAAAAACAACAAATGGATGTGACAAAGAATCATATCAAAAGGCAGGATTTAAGAATTATTCTTTTCTCTCCAGATACCATGCTTAAAAAGAATTTAAAAATCGCTAAAGTTGCCCGAGCATCACATAAAAGAATATATACATTTTAAAAAAACAACAACATTCAATCACTTGTTTTTGCATTTGAAACTAATAATGATTGTTCCTTAATTTTGCCTCGAAACTGCATCTGCTATCAAAGATTATCATCTATCGTTAGCTTTCAATACTTTCATGAACTTAAGACATTTTAACATCTAGCATATAGACAAAAAAACAGACTTTAGAAATAGAAACATTTTTTAAAATGCATCGGTTACCTGGCAGTAAATTAAGATTAAATAATTATTCATGGGTGGAACTGTTCTTAGCATTTCTTTAAGATTCTTAATCTACTGAATGTATGGCCTGTATTTCCTCTCCTTGTTTACTCAAAATCACACCCCCACTCCCCAAAATTCCTCCAACCACACTGAATCCTTATAATCAACACTATAAGTGTGTGGGTAAGAGTCGCTCATCTGATATCAGAAGTTCACTGAATTTAGTGAGTTGCACAGACACCCTAACCACTCAGGTTAATAGTGACCAGAAGAAGACCATGTGATCAAAAAATTTGGATAGTTCAAGAATCGTTACTACCATCTCTCACAATTCCTTCCTGACTGAACTAACTACAAACAAACAAAGCTTGTATCATGCTTTCTACAAATCTCATACTCCCATCTAGGAATACCAGGTACTTGTCCCCAACATTACAGGATGGACAGACACTCTCCCATACCTGGCTAGACGACCTGTTTAAATAGCATGGTTCCCAGTGCCAACCGTAGTCATTCAATTATGACACCTTTAGTACCCCAGGTCCCATCTAGATTAATCTGACCTGAAGACATTCTTGTCATATAATCATCATAAAAAAAAGCAGGTTGTTAACTTTTGGTGGCCACTTATTTCATCTCACTCGGTTCCTTTGTTGAGGGCATGGACATTTTTGGGATGACCAAATAGCTACACATCAAGTTACTTTTGGTTTCTTTATTTATCTTTCGCAAAGTCATTTTAATTACACTCATTAACGTCTCCCTTGAACAAGCAACAGAAAGAAGGAGAAGACAGTATCAAATTTCATGTCACCTCATGTTCCGGAATGGTTGCTCTGCTGTGTGCTTAACATAGATTACTGCTACCTGTCAGGCCCCACTCCTTAGATTTTTTTTACCCTCCCCTTCTCCATGTTCCAAGTTCTTCTCTGCTCCCCTGCAGTCTCCCAACCTAACTGATTCAATGCATGTACTTTGAAAATATTTTCTCCCTGAAATGTTTTAATTTTTACACACATTATAAAATTTCTCAAGATGTGGTGTGCCATTTAAAATCAGTTCTTGGGCCGTGGGTTGGACACTGGTCTACGATATACCATGACAATATAATTATAAAAGCATACAGTTTTCATATTATTTATAACTATAGGTTGGTTTGAAAGTTTTCATCCTGGATATAGACGTTTTGTGACGTCATGCATCTTTCATTTTCTCACCCCATGTGCTTAGTACATAACTGGGTAGAAAAAGCGATTCTTGATCACCAAACGCCAAAAAAAATTAATTAAAAATATTTAAAAATACCAATCTCGAGAAGATTCCAATGGTCGTATCATATGAACTCTGATTCAGTCCTCAAAATCTTCACAGTAAAATAATAACTTCTGTAAGCTTTCATACATTACATCTGGTCATTCTTACTTGTCACATTATCACACTGGTCGCTAGCTGGTATCAAAGTTAACATCTACTTTAGGAAAATGAGATTGCTCATCGCTGGGGGGCTTTAAAATATCCGCTGCCCCGTGAAGTTCATTGGCCACGGCTAATTTATAAAAAGTCTCGAAGGCGTAGGGGCCTCTCGTTGGTAGAAGATCTAGTAGCGCCATGGCTCTCTTTCTGTTGGTGTTGTTGCCCTGGGTTAGCAGAAACAAAAACAAAAAGAGCTTGCAACAGTTTAAACTTCTAAATTTAATTTACACTGAATTGCTGTCATGTGACTTTTTCTGGTTTGGGCACAGAAATATTGTAATGTAACTTCCTCCTTACCAGTATGGGAAGATGACAATTGGATATTTCTGTCAATAATATCATTGATTTTTTGAAATTGACATGATACAGCTGCTTCTATTTGTGCACATTTACATTCTGATCAAAATTCATGTTATAATTTATTGCAGCTGACTTTTTTCATTCAATTCAAGAGAACATACCACACATTTAAATACACATTTCTGCATGGGATCAGAAAGGAATGGAATGTACAGTGCATCCCAATATATAACAAAGATTGTATTCTGCATGTGTAAGTAGTTAATTTTATTAATTATCATTCAAATAAATTTGTGGGATTTATATCAAATAAAAAAAAATTGGTTCATTATTGAGATTACAAGGAGGGCCAAAGCCATTTTTTTTTTAAAATCTTGCGCAAAATTGTAATTAGGATTGAACATCAGATATTGTTAAACCAGATACAAAATATGTAAACTTTGTAGGAATGCTAAAAGGTGACTTTGGGTGCATGATGCAGTAACTTTTCCCCCACAAAATTCATTTATCTTTAATTACACCTTAAAACAATTTTTTTTTAAAATTTTCATTCCTAAGCATTATAATTTTTACTTTCTATCTTAGGAAATGACAAAGCAAAGTTACCTCTAAGATCTCTTCCATCATTGGTTTTGAAATAATCTTAGCTGTCCATAGGTCTTTACATAAAAGAACAATACTTTCTTGGATCTCCTCACTAAGCTTTCTGTAATTGCGTCGAATGATGTCTTTATGTCTTTGCTCCATTGCATTTCACTGAATCATTTATGAAATAGACCAGTAAGGGCAGGAAAAAAAATTAACAGGATGCTAATGAATACAAAATAAGACCTAAATATCTTTCATATTATAATTGGGATAACCGGGTAATTGGTAACGGTAGGCTTACTATACATCACAATTTAACACGGAATGTCCAGGTTTAAACAAGATTCCCCCCCCCCCCCCCCCAAGTTTTAAAATGCTGTCTCAGCAGTCTAACATATTTGAATTCTATCTTGGTTTCAATTTCAGTTAACTAAAAGATTATTGTTTCTGTTCAACAAATATATATTGTCTCATAGTAGGTCTACTTCTATAGATTAATATAATAATAATATAATATCCGAACTTAGGTGCTTACTAGTAAGAATTTATAGTCTAATTAAGTTAAAATTCTAGTTGTAAAGGGTATACAGTAGTAGGTTCTTAAAATTAATTCTTATAAATCCTTAATTATAAGAGCTGTTTAAATGTTGTGAAAGATATGAATATTCATTGATTACTGAAAATGCTGCTTCGAAATAATTGGTTTCTAAAGTTTCTTTGAAATATAAAACGGTATTAACTGATGATATTAACCTGTGTTATAAGCATGTCCCTGACTAATATTCAGGCAATTTAGTAGTTTTATTTTTAGTAGGGACAGGGGCCATTGAAAGAAAGAGCATCATGCTTTTTTTTTGGATGATTTTAGAAACACTCTTCCCCCTCAGAAATCTCATAGACACAAATTTTTAACAAAATTTACTGGTACTTTTATCATCGGTCAAAACTTCGAGCCCTCCCCTCTAGTCTAAACCCTAGCTCTGTCAACTAAGACTAAGGGTAAGGCTAAGTATGTTAGTTGACTTGCACCACTTTACTGTACTAATTATTGCCTTTATAAATCAACCTTGTAACAGAACTGGCCTTTAGAGTGTGTGACCTTTGTCCTTGCACAGGGTGATGTGGCCATAGAGGCGCCCAGTAAATGTTTAAATTCCCTTAAAATAGTGAAGTGTGAACCTCGGGTCCGGGGTCGAGAAGCGGTATTCTAACTTTTCGTACAATCGCTTTTCATAAAAATGAGTTTTTATACAATGAAAGTTGCATTCTTAATTTGGATACTAACACTGGGGTTGGGACCAAAAGAAATGGCGTGGAAATTGATTTATTAATACCGTAGTTCCTTGACCTTTTACAATTAATTCAGCAGAAATAATATGGAGAAAAAAAGCATTCTGGGGCACAAAATTGCAAGCCCAAAGCAGAAAAAGTACATCATAATCGGAAAAAGAGCGGACCCATACAGGGACAGGGAAGGGGGCGCCAACGGTTGCTTCATACAGGGTGAAAGTTTAACTAGCCTAAGACTAAGACCTAAGGGCACTAAGGCTTAACTTTGGCGCCCCTTAAAAGTATAATCATTGGAAGGAAAAACTAGTTATTTGGTACTGAGGTTATGTTTTTTTTAAAACAAACAATAACAATGAACAGTTCATGATTCATAATCATTGTTTGTTTAAAAGAACAACAACTTCATAGATAATTAACTTATTACCTAATAATTAGTTTTTTCCTTTACTTTAATTTTAATGATTATTCTTATAAGGCCATTAAGGGGCGCCAAAGTTAAGCTTGCACAGGGCGCCAACAACTGTCGGGCCGGCCCTGCTTGTCAGTAAGAGTAAACTAAATGCTCAATATAATTATTATATATCATTATAACAATAATAATATGAGTATGAGCAATTTTAATTTATTATTTCAAGAAATCGAGCAACAGTAACAGTAATTTAGGCTAATACTAAATACTAACAGTGCAGTATCATACTGAGTATGACTATTTTTTTTAATTGGCTGTCATGTCGTAACCTGTAACTGTAAAAATTCCTGTATTAATTTACCATTGGCCTAGATATAAACATATACATAATAAAGTCAGAATCAACAATTACAAACTTACGAGTGCGATACAAATATTTTTTTTATTCAGTTAAAATTAGGATTTGTAATTTTTTCTTTTATCTGTACTTTCACTTTCAGCCCTAATTACCGAAAACAGATATCAGTTCCGGCATAGTTTGTTTTTTAACCCCGTCGCGCCCCATGCCCATTCATTTAAAATAAAAGAGTTCACTTAAAAACAAACAATTCTTGTCATTCAGTGACGGAAAACTCTTTAATACAACTGCTTCAAACATCGGTAGGACAGTCTCGTAACACAGTAAAGTATCCGGAAATTTGTTTGAAAGAAATTTCGTCAACGGAAAATTGATCTAACGGAAGTTTGATTGAATCTTTCTTTCAGTTCACACGTTAAAACTTTGCGTCAAATTTCTTTTTGAACGCATTGTTTTGTTTTACCGGTACTCATGATGATGATGATCATCATCAGTGATGCTACAGCCCATGTAGGGCCCTGGCCCGCTCCACAACATCTTTCCATTCGGAGCGATTCGTGGCTTTCCGCCTCCATGCCCGAACCCCTAACTGGTGTATATCCATCTCCACATCATCGATCCATCTCAGCCTTGGGCGACCGGTAAGTCGTCTGCCCCTAGGCTTCTGCATGTAGTGTATATAGCTTTTGCCGCTCTACATTCCGGCATCCTTTCAACATGTCCTGCCCAGTGAAGGCTGACATTTTTTTTATCATTGTGACTATGGGTGGGTCTTTGTACAAATTATGGTAACGTTCTTGGTAAGAACGGATTCTCCAGATATCATTTTCTATCACTGGGCCGTATATTTTCCGTAAGATTTTCCTCTCCCATGTGTTGAGCAGGTTCTCTATTTTTCTGGTAAGGGTGCAAGTCTCACTAGCATATACGTTACTACTGGTCTTATGATAGTGGTGTATATTGTCTTCTTTGTTCCCCTTGAGAGGTTTTTGCTTTCCATGAGCTATAGTAGACTGAAATAGGAACGGTTGCCTGCTGTTATCCTTTCTTTCACCTCCGATATTATCTCATTGTGCTCGTTTATAGTTGCCCCTAAATATTTGAATGTAGCCACTCTCTCAAATTTGTGGCTGTTTATATTGATGTTATCATCAGCATGGGAGTTTCTTGACATTATCATATATTTTGTCTTCAGTTCAATTATATCAAAACCAGCTTAGACTGAAGTATTTTCAAGTTCCCTGAATGCTTTAATTAAGTCATTACGTTTTCTACCCAGTAGTGTTATATCGTCTGCATATGCCAGGTACTGCAATGGTTGGCTATATAAGGTTCCTGATGGTCGTTGTTCTTTAATACCTCTCTGGAAGTAGTTTGTTATAGTTTCACTGGTGCTCACGTGTATGCTTCTAATAACTTTTTCTAGCGTGATGTTAAACAGGTTCATGATAGTGAGTAACCTTGTCTGAGGCCCCGATTAACTAGGAACTCTCTTGAGTATTCTCCCTGCACATTGAGTCTACTTTTGGAGTTGGCCATCGTCATATGAATGGGCCGAGTAAGCTTGTTAGGGACTCCCAAGTTCTTGTAGAGCATTGTATAAGTAATTCCTGTTTATGCTATGGTATGCTTTTTTGTAATCCACATATGTCCATGTTATATTCGTAGCATTTCTCTAGGAGACATCTTATAGTAAAAATATGATCCGTGGTTGACCTATATTCTGCCGAAATCTGCATTGATAGTCCCCTTAGGATCTGTTGACTATACTTTTCCAATTTTCTCGCTATAAGTTTTGTGAGGATTTTGTACATTACATTAAGGAGGGAGATTCCTTTATAGTTTGAGCAGATCAACTTAGATCCTTTATTGTCAATTGGGATTATGAGTGGCGTGTCCCATTCAATTGGTATTTCTTCATCCTGCCAGATTCTGGCTATAAGTTCATGTATTTTTTTTTTTATTCAAAATAATTCAATACATATATACATATACAGAGTAAAACTAAAATAATGACAAATTTTCTGAAGTTTGAACTAAACAAAATGTTAACATTATAATAGAGTGTACTAAATTAAACATTTGTGTAAATTAATAATTTTTTAACATGATGGCTAAATGAGTTGGAATGATAAACTATGAATGTATTATTTGTCATAATATTTCTTAACATATGTTTTGAATTATGTTTTGTATTTTAAATCTAAAAAGTGTTTCTAATGTAATGTCTGTGTAATTATGTTTGTGGAAAAAAGCCTTAAGTCTGTGGTGCCATACATGTTTTCTGTATTGTGAAAGTAATATCAGACTTATTGTGTGTTGTTTCTTGTTTATTGATGCTGGTATTGTGTTTAGTGTTATAGCTCTGTCTATATCTACAGGGTGAACTGTACCTGCTTGTATGATTTGTTTAAGTGTAGATTTAGTCTGCAATACTGTGTTGCATGTCAGATATAAATGTTGTTCTGTCTCATCATGTATTTGCCTATGCAGTTCGTTATCACCTAGCTTTATCAGTTCTGCAGAGATAAGGTCTATTCCTGGAGCTTTGTTATTTTTCATGGTGGAGATTAAATATTTTATTTCATTTAATGTTGGTTGGTTGACCAGTGGGTCCGGTCCTCCTTGTGGCGGTGCGTAATCCTCATTGGTTCCTCCATCTGAGCCATTCAGTAAGCCTTCAAAGTGTTGTACCCATCTCTCTAGTACTCTACTGCTCTCGGTGATCATCAATTCTCTATCCGTAGTTTCACACATGTGAAATCTTGCTTGAGAGCCATTCTTTTCTGCTTTATCTTCAGGTACATTCCCCTCACGTCTCTTTCTTTTGCCAACTCTTCTATCTCTACTATTTTTGATTTTCCCAAATACGTCTTTTTATTCTGCAAATTTTGCTGGGCATCCTTCTTGCTTCATTATATAATTGCCGTGTTCTTCTTGTCTCCCTTTGCAGCATCATTAGCCGAGCTTTGTTTCTTTGTTCTATAAGTTCTTTGCATTCTGCATCAGACCATCCTGTTCTTTTCACTGCTGGTTTAAATCCAATCGTTTCCTCTGTTAGACTTGTAACTATTTGCTTCATCTTTTCCCATTGCTGGTTTACATCCACGTTGCTGGCTGATTCCCTTTTGGATAATTCTAGTTGAGTTTCAATCTTGAGACGGCGTCCCCTAAACATCGAAACAATTGATTATTCCGACAACCTCTGGGACGCCCCGGATGCCATCGCTGAGAGCGCAGTGAGCATGCTGAAATAGCATGGATACTTAGCGCTATATAAATATTCAATCAATCAATCAATCAATCAATCAATCAATCAATCAATCAATCAATCAATCAATCAATCAATCAATCTTCTGTTGATATTCCTCAGTGATTTTTGGGTCCCTACTCAATTTCTGACTATTGTACTGTTTTCTCCTTTATTTTGTTTATTGTGGATGTTAAAAATTCTTTGTTTATATTTTATTCTAACAAGTAGGTGGTCTAAATCTATGTCCACACCTCTACAACTTTGCACATCTAATATGTCAAAGCCATGCATCCGGTCAATGAGTACATGATCTATTTGATTATGGGTAAATCTATCTGGATATATCCATGTCGCTTTATGTATTTGTTTATGTTGGAATATTGTGCTACTGATTGTCATTCCTTTTCCTGTAGCGAAGTCTATAGACGTGTTCCGTTGTCATTGCTCTCATCATGCAGACTTTCCTTTCCGATTGGTGGTCTGTAAACTTAGTTCTTTCCCAATTTTCGCATTGAAATCGCCAATGACTATTTTGATATCATGTCGTGGAGCCTCAACAAATACTCTTTCCAGTGTTTCGTAGAAAGTTTCCTTCATGCTTTCATCTGTATCTTCCGTTGGTGCTTGAGCGCAGATTAGCGTGATGTTAAACATTTTCCCTCTAATTCTTATGGAGCACAATCTTTCACTCACTGGTTTTTAAACCCAAGGACTGCATTTACTGTCTCTCTTTTGACTGCAAACCCTGTTCCTAAGGTGTTTGTGTTGTTTCGACTGTAGAATATTGTATACTCCTTAGTATTTAGGATATCTGAGTCTTTCCATCTAATCTCCTGCAGTGCCGCAATCACGATTCTATATCTTAATATTTCCTCACTGAGGCGGGCCAAGGCACCTGCTCTGTATAAACTAAGTACATTCCAAGTCGCTATCCGTATATCATATTTTTGGTCAGGCATGGGTCGAAATCCAAAAATTATCAGTCCGTTTTTCTGTATGTGCTTTAACTTTCGTAACATTAGCTTTTTTACGTGACAGGGTCGTCAGCCCTGCGCACGACCATCTGGTGGGGTGCCCCTTGCAGCTCTCAGGGTGGCTGCCTTTGTATTGGGTCGGGTCCCTAGCCTCTGTGGATCCCTCCACTTCCTACAAGGCAGTAGGTACTGATTTCGGTCCGCCCCGGGTATTTTATTTCCCCCGGTACCCTCCATATCTGGTGGGCTTTCCCCTATCCGCCACCTGGGGAGGCGCTCGATGGAAGATCAGTATCTCCTCACGAGTTGTCAGTACTACTACATTAGCGCAGAGGCCCTTAACCTAGAACACAACTTGTTTATAACTATATTTTACTAAATATTTTACAAAAAATTGTTACTGCCATATTCAAAGATATGTATTGTGTGAAATGGGAGTTTATTGCGTATACAGCACATGTAACAGTGACTGTAGATACAAGGATCATCCGCTCAAGCAAGGTTTTAGATATAACTCATATCCTAAAACTGACCAAGAAAATGTAAAATATTGGTTCACATCAGAGTAGGATTTTTTTTGGGTCCATATTCCATCGAAACAGTAACACATGTGCGCAGTAAATATTTAGTGGTGAAGAGGCCCCACAAATAAGTTTCCAGATCCTATACCTGCTCATTTCACCGATACATAGGTAGGGAGCTTTATTTCGTTTTAGTTTTATTATTATTAACAATTTGAATTTGTATTTTCAAAAAATTAGTTATAATGTTCGAACAGAGGTTATGTACTATTCATATTCCAGAGAAGATTGCTTAACATTAATAGATAGCATGGCAGCCCCAACCCATTCACATTATACAATAGTAATGAGGTGATCTTGTATAT